ATATATTTTTATTTTTTTTTCTTCTTTTGGATATCCATAAAAGGGAGAAAAGCACACAAAGTTCCTACATGTTTTTAGTTTCCTGTGATATTCAACAAATACTGAATGTGCATGAAAATTGAATACACCACTAAAAGGAATTGTGATATTGGCAGTGTGAATTAACTTTCTGTGTTTATACTAGGCAATATTTAAAAACTAAAACAAGCAAAAATGATATTTTTTGCTTCTCAGGTGCATTTTATCTAACACACTTCAAAACATTTCTAACAAAGCAAAACATCAGAGCATTATTGTTAGATTTTTAAAACCAGTTACTATTTTATTTTTGATTTATCTAAGAAGGATTTTATAAAATCCTTTACAAAAAGCAAAAAAAAAGACATTGTATTTAACGATACCTGATATTCCGTATAAGTTTGACTTTTTGTACAAGTTATTATGTGTTTTCCATTTTTAAAGTATGACATTGTTCAGTAATTAAATTATTTTCACATTTGACAGTTTTTTACCAAAAGAAATAAGGTAGTTTATAAAATCCGTGACATATATTCACTGTATTGTTATATTCATGCTCATTTTAAAGGTATAGATATAGACAACATAACTGGTGTGTTAAAGCCAGTTTATTTTTAAACATCCTGTTGAGATGGTTATGGGCTAGTGATTAATGTGCTTGGATTGTGACTTTTCAATTTATAGTTCAAATTCTGTTGTCATAAACACATGCTCTGTGTTTAAGGACTGTTGGTGTGCTATAAAAGTGAGTGTCAAATCCCATTATTTGGTAGCCTAAGAGTTGGCAGTGAATGCAGTTGATTAGCATGCTTATTTCTGGTACATCAGTTTAGAATTAGGAATGGTCATCTGCAGACAACCATTTTGTAGCTTTGCATGAATATTATAAAAATTTTAACAACCAAATTTAATCAACCTTGCACAGCTTTCTTCTCATCAGTATCACATGCAAAATATTGCATTTGTTTTAGATTTTAAGTTTTACATTACACTAAACATGTTTTTCTCATGTTAGCTCTTTTGATATCATATCAAATTAAGATTATGAAAGAAATTCAAATCATTGAAAAAGAAAGAAATAGAATATTATATATTGAAATGGTTAAATTTTATAAAATGTATTAACATATAATTTTGGTTAAATGCATGATAGACTTACAAATAGTATATTTTTGTAATGTTATTTATATATATGTGTAAACTTATATACCGAAGCATAAAATCTTACAGAATCAAAAATTTATTGCACAAAGAAAAATAATTTTTGTGCTAAAAATAAAATTTATGAGCATGTGAGTGTTTAGTATTAAACACACAACAAAACATTAATTCCATAACTAATTAGAAATGGTATACTTTCATTAAATAAAGAATTGACTTCAGTCATAAGGTAGTATTTTCTGCTTTATTATAGAATGAAATGAGTACAATAAAAATTTAACTTAAATATTTTTTAAAAATGGTTAAATACTGCTTGTTTATAGAAATAATTTGGAAAAAAAGTATTATGAATTTACCCTACTTGCAAAATGAGTAGGAGTTCATTATAATACATTAGAGATCTGATACTAATATCACAATTCCTCAATGTTCTCTTTAGTGGTGTATTCAATTTTCATACACATCTTATCTGTTTGTCCATTATCTAACTACCAAGTTGCTAGGCCAATTTCAACCAAACTTTGTGTGATGATAGTTTGTGATAGGGGGCATCTTAGTGGAGGGTTCACAACCCCCTCCACCTCCATTATTACTGTTATTAAGCATTTATTATCTTTGACATAAGTTAACATTAACTAAATTCATAGATGGCACATTGTCCTTACACCAAAAACAAAAATTATTAAATTTCCTATGAAACTACAAACACACAGTGTGGAGGAGGGCACACAAATTTCTTATATATATATATATATATATATATATATATATATATATATATATATACTAGTAGTAGTACGTACTACGACACTACTGTAGTAGTAGAATACGTAATAAAGTAAAAAGTAAGTTAGGTACGTACGTAACGTA